ACAAAAAAAAAAAATTCGATCGTGGATTACAAAAAAGGAAAAAACAATTCGATCATGGATTACAAAAATTCAATCATGGATTACAAAAAACTCTATCATGGGTTACAAAAAAAACAAAAAACAAAAAATTCGATCATGGATTACAGAAAAAAAAACAAACATTTCGATCATGGATTACAAAAAAAAACAAACATTTCGATCATGGAATACAAAACATTCGATCATGGATTACAAAAAATTCTATCATGGGTTACAAAAAAAAAAATTTCGATCATGGATTACAAGGAAAAAATACAAACATTTCGATCATGGATTACAAAAAATTTGATCATGGATTACAAAAAAATCTATCATGGGTTACAAAAAAAATAAAAAATAAAAAATTCGATCATGGATTACAAAAAAACAAAAAAACAATTCAATCATGGGTTACAAAAAAATCGATCAAGTATTACAAAAAAATCTATCTGGATTACAAAAAATAAATAAATAAATAAATAAAATAATAATAATAATTTCTGTTCTTCCGTACGGGACTCGCCGATTCCGTACAGTGAATCGGCGAGTCATTGTGCATAATCGTCCGGTTCTCTCTGGAACCGGACGATTCCCGTTTTTTTTACCGATTCGATCTGTCCATGGCGATTCCCGAGTCAAACCGAACGAGTCCGATTCGACTCGACGTTTTTTTAAACACTGGTTTAATCTATCAATAGTCACTCGTGAAGTACTAAATGCAAGCTGGAGTAGGACAAATGCCACTGTCATAACTCAGGACATAATAACTTACAACACATAATGGTTCAGTTAGTATTTTGTTTTCTTTTTCATGTATGTGATGTCTCTTCACATGTCTGATGTCACTCCCTTTGTTCACCCTTGCTGCCTCTCTTGTCTCTCGAATCTGTCTTGAGCATATGAGTCAAAAAAGGGATTTGTAGTTCAGCAACGGCTTTTTGGGACGGTTACTTCATTTTGTCTCTCAACAAAAAAGCAGATTCATTCACCAAGTAAATAAATAAGGCGAGCATTTTATGGTTCTCCTACGGCATACAAGTTCTCCTTTTTATCCAACCGTCCATTATGAATGGAGAGTTAAGATTGTCCCAATTACACTATTTTATTTTAATTTTTTTCTATAAACTATTTTTACACCAAATATTGGACGTCCAGTCCTCTATTAAACTCGCACTGGCAAAAAATATAAAAAAATATTTTCAATAAAATAAAATGATCAAAATACCTCTGAAAGTTTTAAGGGGTATTTTAATCATTATATTTTATCAAAAAATTATTTTTAATATTTTTTATAGGTGCGCCCTAATGAGAAGATGGCATGTACCAAATTTCATATTCATACAACTTGTATAAAAAAAACTAAAAATAAAATACTTTGAGACGTCGGTTCTAAGATCAAACGGTGAATAATTCTCTTGCTCAAAATTGGACGGCTGGATGGAAGGGGGAGGATAGATTTCTATATTGTAGGGGAAACATAGAAACCTTTCCCAATAAATAAAAGAGGATTTATCAAGAGGAAAATGTTTATATAAGCCCACAATTTTATAGTGCTTGCTCGACCTCGAGATTTGTAGATATGAAAAAAAAAAAAAAAATTCAAGTATTAAAATAATGTATCTTGTAACAAGTTATCTGAACAATTTATTTTTTAAGATTTTTTAAATTTTATAGATAGGCCCAATCTGTATAATCTTTTTAAATTTAAATTTTTATAGCTAAGGATGTAAATGTATTTGTACGGCATCATAAAATTTTCGACGTCGGAATTAAATTTATGGCAAATTTCAAACGCGCCTCTTGCTTCATAAGAATAAGGAGGGGTCCAATACAAACCTCATCCCATTGATAATGCACCTAAGATATGCATTATTTACTATTTTAACTACCTATTTGGATTTAATTTTGGAATGCTCCTCACAATATTTATGATCGTGAATTAGAATAGTTAAAAAAGAATAAAAGCCTAATTTTTTAATAAATGGAATGTATTATAATAAATTTCATATAAAATAATAATAAAATGTATACTATAGGACCATCTATTTTTATTACAAAAAAGTCACAAATATATCTAGCAATTAAATATGAAATTTGGACACTAACAATAATACACAAACTTCAAGAAAATTTTTATAGAGCATCATGCATAATCAATGACACGCCCTCAACCATTTAATTTCATGTTTGATAGCTAGGAATAAGCGTGACTCCATGTGTCAAAAACAAACAATCTCATCTTAAACTTATAAAATAGGGCTTGTCTTGGTCATCCATTTTTTAAATAAGAGGATCATCTACAATTCATAAACCTTCAAATTGTAAACCTTAATGTTAGTGTGAGTTGTGATGGATAGATTTATTTTTTATAATATCTTGTTCATCAAGTAAAAGTATTTTTTTGTAAATATCGTTAAAATGTTCCAAAACACTTTCAAAATATGATTATATTTTTATAAAAAATTATTAATTTGTCCTAACTTGATAATTAAATTACATATTAAAATATATTTCTAAACAAAAAATTATGATTTTTTCAATAAATATATCAATCACAACTCACTATAACATTAACATTTGTATTTTGAGGGGATGGTAACTCTAAACAAACCAATAATTTACCATGATTTTGATACAGGCCTAAAACATGGGTGAAATTATTTTTATTCTCCAAAAATTTTTTATAGCACTACATTCAAAACATGAATGCCAAACTCGCCCTAAAAGAAAAAGAAATAATTTTTTATAAAACATTAGCCATTAAAAATTGTCGTTTCTCATTTTTTTTTTTTTGGTATATCAACTCTGGGGCATGGATCACTCTAGAAACTGAGAGAGAGGGGGTGGGGTAAATGTAGAAATTAATGGGCTTTACGTGAAGCAATTAGAGCCTTAATTTCCTCGCAGTAGTTACTCTGGAAATGCATTAGCATGATTTTATCTTTTTACAGGCTTTGGCAGTGTCAGGAAAGCGGCAGCCTGTGAAATCCTCAGTGAAAAGCGAAAGCCCTTTCGAGAGCAACATTGCGTTGTTGGCTACCACATGATTGCCCTTTTCAAGGATCGTCCACTTAGCCCATTACTTTCTTTATAAGCACAATTTCAACCTCAATTTTCAGGACAAAAATGCCCGTATCGGTTCGTTTTCCCCTCATTATGTTTGGTTACTTTTATAGCTTCTCCGCACCAAACGGTAAACTCGTTTTTCACTCGGTGAAAATGAGAGTGTTTTATAGCTCGGATCGGTCTAGCGCATGGTTCACCTGTAGTTCTGCGTTGCATCGTTGGATCCGCCACTAGGATCGAAT